GCACTAGAAAAGTGTGCTCAGCCATAGTGATGAATATTTCTCTGCTGGTGTTTCAGCATTCCAGTTTAATGTTGCACCTGGATGGAGAAGGAGCTAAGTTTATCAGTGCAAAACTGTCGTAGGATTGGAAACAGGCTCCATGCAGGTACAAGGCTCCAAGTACAATTGACACACACATTTTGTGGCAGAAAATCTAAGTTAATGGCCAAGTACACAATTAATAGGGACCTGCAGCCAATCCTGGGTCTCTGGTTAATGCAGAATATCCCAAGTTCAATTCCCAACATCTCCAGGTAGGAATGCCTATCATATGAAACCCTGGAGAGTCAATGCCAGTCAGTGTAGACAGTCATGACATAGATGGATCAAAGGTCTGACAGGATAGGCAGCTTTCTATGCAGTTTCAAATAAATGTTTGTCTTGGAATAAATTAAATGTGGTGCCATTCACACAATTAGCAATAGTGTGAATGGCTCTTTACATGTCAATAACAGTTAGATGAGGCTTGGTCTATATTAGGACTTTGGGGGGGGGGTTGACACTTTGTCCCCCTGCAGATAGGATATTTTAGACTCTGGGCTTAATGGTATTGATGCCTGAAACTTAATGGCCTTATTCAGAGGGCTCTTTAGTTGACAATGGGCATTATTATTCACTTAATTCAAAATGTGCTAAGTCAACCTTATGTGTTTGGGTGACTTCCTACCTGCCCTGATGGCACTGCTGCCCATTCATACAAATGGGGAGCCAGTCCAAGTTGGGACCACAGTAGGGTGAAGAGGGTTAATTCCCCCATGGGCTGTCTTTTAAAAAGCAAGCAATGACTCATGTCCAGTCTTAGCACTGTGGGTCTACAGCGCTAAGATCGGATATGAACCTGTGCCTGCTACCAGCATAAAGTTTGAATCACCATATGACATCAGGTGATTGACAGGTAGGTGTCCATGCCCACCTTCAAGGAGGGCCTATGGAGGGTGGGCCAGTCCTGGATCTGACCCCTGGGCAGATCCTCAACACTTTTTTTTACTTTTAAAAAAAATCATACTACTTGCATGAATGGTGTCACATTTAGTATGGCCCTCATTCACACACAAAATTTTGGGGTGTGTGCTTTAAAAATAGAGTTTGTGAGCTTGTCATTTGGTTTCCACAGAGAGGATAGGGGTTTTCTCTGAGGTGATAAGCTGAGCTGGTGACTCCTGAAAATTCAAGCACTTAGGGGAGCTGCAATTATGTAATATCTAACAAAGTGGTGCATCAGCCACATTCCTTAGATGCTACCTAGATAAAGAGATTGTAGCTGCTGTGCAAGCGGAAGTACACAAAAAGCCACTTTCTGCTTTGAAACAGAAAGTCTGCTAGTTGCTGGGTAGACTTAGCTGCTTCTGATCTTCAAAGCTGCAAATGTGAGCTCTTTAATGGCAAAGGAAAATGCAGAGTGTGGCAGTATCCCTTGGCTGACATCCCGGAGAAGCTTATTTGAAGTTGCTTATATATTGCTCTTAGAAAGCAACTGTTCACAGGCAGCCGGAACTGTGCCTCAAAGATGTGTTTGCAAAAAGGAAAGACCTGCTTCTTTTTATAACCGTTGCCATAAAAAGAAAATGAAATGGTACAGAAAAAGGGATAAACATAGTGGTCAACATATGCCTTGGCTGCCTCTACTTGCAACAAGCAGTTTTTCTGACAGTTGAGTGATTATTAAATAAGGAGTTATTAATTCCCATCCCCTCCCCTCCCCATTTTGGTAGCCCCTTAAAAATGGCTTGCTCAAACCATAACCAGTGACACTTGCCAGATAGGACCAAAGGTCCATCCTACTTCCCACAGGGGCCAGCCAGATTCTTCAGGAATTGGGATTCTGGACAGGATAGTTGTTTATTGGCTGAGCTAACAGAGATCTTCTTCCCAGCAACTGTTAGAGATACACTGCCTCTGGTCACTAAGGTTCTACATCACTGTCTTGACTAATAACTGTTGATATAAATATTTCATCTTTAAGTTTGCCTAATCCACTTTTAAAGCGATCCTAGCAAGTGTTCATCCCCATGTCTTACGGGAATGAATTCCAGAAGTTACTTGTACATTGTGTGAAATGACTCCTCCTTTTTCTATGTCCCACATCTACTGGATACCCCTGAGTGTTATTGTAGAGGAGAAATCTTTCTCTCCATTTTCTCCACCTTCTCTTCTTCTCCCCTACCTAGGCAGGGGATGCATTGCTTTCTCATTAGGTGGAGACCGGAGGCAGCCATTTAGGGCAGTGACATAAGACATGGCAGGCAGCCCTTCACAGGATTGACCAAGAGGTGCTAAGAAACACACAACATTTTTTTGTACAGCATCATATATTATATTTCCCTGGTCTTTATGTATGACACCTTTGAAGGTTTGCAAGTGAAGGTGGACAGATTTTTTTCACCTAAGGTACAGAGATGGCTCTACATCACCTCTCTCATTACTGAAACCATCATTCACATCCCACAAACTATTCTATCAAGCCATTTGCTTGTATAAGAAAAGAACCCTAAATCCTATAGCAGAGGAGGGGATCCTCAGGGCAGGGGGCCGAATGTGGCTCTCTGGGCATCTCTATCTGGCCCTCAGGAATCTCCCCGGACCACAACATTTCCCCATGCCACTCCTCTCATTGGTCCCGCTTTAAGTGCTTTGGTGGCAAAGACTCTAGCATGCCTGGATGAAGAATTGTGTGTGTGTGGAAACCTGACATATTTTGCATGGGTGGAATGTAGCTTACTGTGCAATGCTAAGTATTTAATCCTTTGCTCCACACACTTTTGTCTCTGGTCACGCCCTCCTGAAGCATGTGGCCCCCTGGGGGTTGTCCATGGGGGTATGTGGGCCTCAGACTGAAACTGCTACCCACTCATTCCCTATTGAAATCAATAGAACAATGTCCAATGTCTTTTGCCAGCTGCAGGGGAACTGGGTTTTTGTAAGGGAAGGGCTGTCTCTCAGCCTCAGACGCCTGTTTCAGGAAATTGTAGGCTCTGGGCCAAATGTTCTGGGAGGCTGGGTGGGGGTTCTTCCTATGGTGAGTCCTTCACTCACTTCAAAATGTAGTAAGTTGGCTCTCCTGTGCCCTTAGTCCCTCCATGCTGCCTCTGCTGAGTGGGGCCCTGTACTTCTGCTCCCCAATTCTACCCTACCTCTCAAGTGGGGTGACTCAGGTCTCTGTCCTCTCCCCCATGCTTTTTAACATCTGTATGAAGCCGCTGGGAGAGATCATCAGGGGGTTTGGGCTGGGTGTTCATCAGTATGCAGATGACACCCAACTCTACCTCTCTTTTAAATCAGAACCAGTGAAGGCGGTTAAGGTCCTATGTGAGTGTCTTGAGGCAGTTGGAGGATGGATGGTGACTAAGAGATTGAGGTTGAATCCTGACAAGACAGAAGTACTGTTTGGGGGGGACAGGGAGCAGGTGGGTATGGAGGACTCCCTGGTCCTGAATGGGGTAACTTGTGCCCCTGAAGGATCAGGTGTGAAGCCTGGGAGTCATTTTGGACTCACAGCTGTCCATGGAGGTGCAGGTCAATTCTGTGTCGAGGGCAGCTGTTTACCAGCTCCACCTGGTACGCAGGCTGAGACCCTACCTGCCCGCAGACTCTCTCGCCAGAGTGGTCCATGCTCTAGTTATCTCCCGCTTGAACTACTGCAATGCGCTCTATGTGGGGCTACCTTTGAAGGTGACCCATACGTTTCCAAGCACAATTCAAAGTGTTGGTGCTGACCTTTAAAGCCCTAAACAGCTTCGGCCCAGTATACCTGAAGGAGTGTCTCCACTCCCATCATTAAGCCCAGACACTGAGGTCCAGCTCCAAGGGCCTTCTGGTGGTTCCCTCACTGCGAGAACTGAGATTACAGGGAACCAGGCAGAGGCGCCCACTCTGTGGAACGCCCTTCCATCAGATGTCAAGGAAATAAACAACTATCTGACTTTTAGAAGACATCTGAAGGCAGCCCTGTTTAGGGAAGTTTTTAATGTTTGCTATTTTATTGTATTTTTAATATTCTGTTGGGAGCCACCCAGAGTGGCTGGGGAAACCCAGTCAGATGGGCAGGGTATAAATAATACTATTATTATTATTATTATTATTATTATTATATTACTAACAGCAACCACACTGGATTCCATCCCCAGAGTGTCCAGGTTGGGTTGGAAAATACATCTGCTGAAAATCCTGGAGAGCTGCTGCCAGTCAGTGTTGACAGTACTGAGCCGGTTGGATGAGGGGTCTGATTCAATATGACAGCTTCCAAAGTACATCTTTCCCTTTGGGACTAGGCCTACAGGTAGTCAGACCAGACAGACCAGCACTGGCTCAGAATTGGAACACTACTGTAATTTGTGATTTGGAGCAAATATCCCATTTACCTATCAGACTAACTGCTCCAAGTGCACGCAAAGAAAGGTTTTCTCTGAACTAACTCAAGTTCTTAAAGCAGGGATGGGGGATTTTTTTTCAGTCCATGGACCACATTCCCTTCTTGCAGCTTTCCAGGGCCAGAGGCAAAAATGGGTGGAGCAATTAATTTAATGTTACCTTTGTACAATGCACTAGTTTCAACACACTATTCTCACCCCTCTCCATTCTCCATCAGGGCAAACAAAAGTCATTAGTCAGACTTCTAAGGGACATTCCAAACAAGCAAAAACACCCAAGGAGGGTGTGTGGCATGGCTCGTGAGGGGTGTGGCTTGGGGAGTGTTCCAAGGGCCAGACAGAGACCAGTTTGGCCCTGAGTCTCCCAATCCCTGTTTAAAGGCAATGCCTTCAAAATGACCTGAGTCTGGGAGAGTTCCATTGCATCACTGAAAGCACACAGAAGATCCTGGTCCACACAATCTGCAAATGTAGCTGTTTTCGTTTCGTTTCGTTTTGCTTTTGTTTTGTTTTGCTTGCCAGTGAGCATCTTTGTCTGGCAATTGACTCCCTACAGCCTTGGAACCTGCATCAGATGGGTGGGGCTTCCTTATTCTACCACTGCTCGGAAAATGCCTAAGGCAGAAAAGGAGGAAAAAGTCTGCCAGCTTGAAAGAAACGGGTGGCGGGGCTGGGATGGAAGGTTGCTGCAGCCTCACACGTGCCACACTCACACCCTCAAGAGCAGAATCACCTCCCTGACGATCTGTCGATGGGGACAGTCTGAGCACGGTTCCCCTCCCCGTTTACTTTGTCTGCCCCCGGTGAAAAAGCGAGCCCAAGATCAACTGGGTCTCAGACCCCTCCCCCGCTCCCCGCACCAAAAAAGACCTCTCACCTTGTCGTTCAGGTTCTGCAAAGCCTCTTTGCCAGTGGCTCTCCGGATCTCCACCTTCCTCCCGAAATCAACAGATGGTTCCCCTCCCTTCCTGCTCTGCCAGGAATAATGGGACTGAGCATCCGGTCCGAGGTGGGCCACGTCCTTCTGCTTGGCCACGATCCTGCCGCCCGAGGAGGAGGAGGAGGAACCGCGTCCTACCGAGAGGGAATCGAAGTCGATGGTTTTGTTCTCCAGGGAGCCTTCCACGGGGCAGAACATGCCACAGAATTTCTGCCGGGGCTTGGGGCTTCCGGAGCCCAGGTTCTTGAAGAAGGCTGGAACTTCCTCCTCGTCCTCGGTGGGCTTGCCCGACTGCCTCTTCTCGGCCATGGCTCCCTCGCTCTCTCCCCGGGTCGGGTCTCGCTGCGAAAGGCAAAGCTCTTCCCGATCGGAGCTCCGGCTCTCGCCCTGGAGGCAGGGGACGCGGCGGCTGGCGCTAGCGGCTTGCAGAGGCGAGCAAGGGCTGGACGCCTGGGCGGTGGAGAAGCCGAGCCTTTGTACTGCTGGCCGCCTTCATAGAGAGGAGGGCGGGCTGCTCGTGGGGCGAGGTGGAGGGCAGCAGCTGGAAGGCTGAAGGCGATGCAAAGTTGAGAGGCGATCAGGGGAGGGAAGGAGGCGAGCGGGGAGAGAGGCTGTCAGAAGCAGTGCAGCCGGGAGGGGTGGGTTTAAGTTCTCAGCAGCATCCAAATGACGATGAGGATGATGTGAAGGGGGAGGGGACAGGCAAAGCAGAGAGAGGGGTTTTTTTTTAATTTAAAAAAAGCCTCACTCACTCTGCAGCAGAAACTGGGAATTGATCCGGAAGTGATGTGACAAACGAAATTGGCAAATGGACTGAATCAGCTGGTGGGAAAGGGGGAGTGGATCCCTGGGTGCACTGCAGCTTCCACAAGTGGTGGGGAGGAAGCTGGAAGGTGTGTCTGTGTGTGGGGGGGGGGGGAGGTGTTCAACGCCCACCACGCCACTTTGGCAAGAGGGGCTGCGTCGGGAGGCCGAAGGCTTGCTCCTCTCAGCCACACCCACCTCGCGTCTCCTGCTAGCACGCTGCAGGCTTCTTCCTCTTCACACACACACTCCGCTTTCAAGGCTAAGCGTGTATACAGAAGAGGGGGGATTTGGGGAGGGGGCAGTGGGGGGGGAGGATGCTGAGTCAGAGATATGAGGAGCCCCTGCTGTGAGTCGAAGTGTTCTTTCTCTCTCCTCACCCTACTCTCCTGGGGCCTGAAAAGAGATGGAAGGGTAGGGGCGAGAGACAGCTGGCATTGGTGAGGCTGGATTTTTTTTTCCCAAGGGGAGGGAAAGAAGCAGAGGCAGTATTCAGACCATAAGGGTTTGACCTTGGCAAGGCTGTGGTCCTTGTGAGTATGGTGAAGTGGTGTAAGGGAGGAGGGGCGCTTAAGAATCTAGTCCAGTATTGCCTGCTCCATAGATGGGGAACATGTGGCCCTCCAGACGCTGTTGAACTACAACTCCCATTATCCCTGACCATTAGTCATGCTGGTTGAGGTTGATGGGAGTTAGGGTCCAGCCACATGAGGGGCACAGGTTCTCCATCCCTGTCCTGCTCCGACTGGCAGCAGCTCTGCAAGGTCTCCGGTAGCTGAGATCCTTTACTCCGGAGGGTGCTGGAGACTGAACCTAGAACCCCTGCATGAAAAAGTGCGCTTATCATTGAGCTGGAGTTTGCGTTTTCGATGGATACTTTGGAAAAGTCCTTGCTCCTGATCTCCTGTTCAGGATAACCGATATTCCCTCTGTTAGTGGGTAGGCAACCAGCCTCAAGCTCTACCTACAAAGTAACAACCTTGGTGAACAACGGGATCCTCTTGTTGAGAGAAATGGTCTCGTCTATTCGCCTCGCGCCGGTGGCGCTGTCCGTTCAGCACCACGCCGCTTTGCTCCTAGTGTGAGGTAACCACAGCCACCCCCGAAGCAGGAAAGAGGATTGGGCCTTGGGCATGTTGATCTTAGAAAATAAAACATCCCCTTTATTAACGAGGTGACGTCGACTGGCTTAGATGTACCTTCAGGGTATGATCGGAAGGCACCTCAAACCATTAGCTAGCTGATTGCCCGAGAATAAATAATATATGTAAGGTGGGTGGGGAGGAGAATTTATTTAAGGAAATTAGAGTTTGACTTGACATTGTTAAATCATGAGAAAGGTTAAAACGCTTTAAAACAAGGTTAAAACAAGCTTTAAAAGGATAAGCAGAGCAAGCTTCTTGGGTATACAATAGGAATGGTCTGAAAGCACAAGAAACCACCAACTTGCTGAAGCTAAGCACGTCTGAATCTGGACAGGGCCTGGATGAGTGACTGGCTGGGAACCATGTTTTCCAGAATGTAAGAAAATAAATTAATAATATCAATGATAGTAATTTATTAGATTTATTACTAGCTTGTTACCAAGGTCTCCAAGCAACTTACATTTTTTTTTAAAAAAAGCATTATACCATTAAAAATTCATATGGTTAACATATAAATAATAGTACATTTTAAAATTATTATTATACAAAACCTTGACATTCTCATATGAGCATTTACAATTCATACACACACACACACCATAACTGCCACAGAAAGCTTGGGCAGCACAACAGCAGAAGAACAGAAAAAGAATTAGATGAAATCATGGATGAAACCATCCTGTCAATGACTATTAGCTATGATAACTTAATAGAACCTCTAGGTTTAGGGGCGGTTTATCCCTAAATGACTCTTGCTTGGGAGAAAACCATGGGGGAGGGTTTTTGCATTCATAACTTTCTTGTGAGCTTCCAGATGCATCAAGATGGTCACTGTGGGATACAGGTTGTTGGACTGGAGATATCCCTTTGATCTGATCCAACAGATTTCTTCTTCTCTTCTTAAGGGACTCTGCATAACATTCATGCCATCCACATAATATAGCTTTGCCTCAGCCATAGAATCATAAAATTGTAGAGTTGGAAGGGACCACAACCTCCCAAGAGAGACCGTTCCACTGTCAAACAAAGGAAGGCTAGCCATTTTTCAGTATATTATTATCTTGTGGTTTTTCATTATGGACTAATGCCTTCAAATTTTCAAACAATTCCAATAATTACCCACTGAGCAATTGCAATAAAATATGACAAGTGCATGTGAGTGGATTAGTACAGAGACATTTCCAAACCAAAAAGAAAGACATGCCTCATGCAGACAAATCTGACCAAGCTTTGGACACACCCGTCTAATAAAGTAAATCAAAATGCTGTTCAGGAATATTATCATTTTTAATCCATATTCAGTATCATCCCAGTCCAAATAGTTTCCCCAAGCCATTTATTGCTATGCATTATTCATTCATTCATTCATTCAGATGCATAGCATTAAATGTTAATTTACAGTCATCTGTGCACTTCCTGCCCCCAATCCCAGCATAGATACTCACCCTTAGGAAACACAAATCTTTTTTAAAACACACACACACACAAATTCCTTGTCACCAGGAGAGCAATGGTATGCAGCCTTACTCAGAAGACCCATTGTGTTCAGTGGGACTTATTCCCTAGAAAGTGTATTTAGGATTGCAACCATAACCAGTCAAAGTCACAAGGAAGGGCAAAATATTTTGTGAAAAATAAGCAGACAAATCTAACACAACCTAATGGTTTTAAACAAACAAACAAAAAGACATTTCTGAAGGAAATAAATAATCCCTGAGCTTTAGGTTGTAGAAAACCCAATATGTGCTTTGGGGACTAATGAGGAAGAAGAGATGTAGGTCCTCATGGGGAATCTCTGCCCCACCTCCATTCCCTCCACCTCTCTCAAGATCATACTTAGAAATAACACAGAGCTACAATCCCCTCTCCTGTTCAGGTGCCTTGACAGGACAAAGGGCAGCATATGGTCTATCAGGTAAGTAAATCTATGCATTACTTAAGGTTTATAAATATTAATAGCAGACTTGCTGATGAACAGTTAATCAATGCAGGCCATTGCCAGAGCCTTCAAGAGCAGGGTGTTCAAGAGACTGCAATAATAATAACAACGCTGGCTGCAATTTACAACGTGATTTTCATAGGCAGCCAGAAACAAAGCTTGGGGTGTGACATGAAAGGCATCCAAAAGCTCCACGGATGGTCCTTATGACAAGGTCAAAATGGGACACTTCTAAAGCTGCTCACCTGATGTGGCCCTGAATCCAGAATAGAGAGGAAGTCACAACATTCAAAATGTTTCAACAACAGCAAAAGCCATTTCTGACACCACTGTTGCACTCCGGATAGAAATTATTCTGGATTGCTGAACAAATCAGCTCCATTTGAATGAGCCTATTTGAATGGCCTTGGTGTGCTTCTTTAATGGCTGCATTTCTGTTAAGGGGAATGGGTGACCTCAGCTATAGTTACATCTCCAGTACAGTGTAGAATATATGCAGGTCTCTCCCCCGCCCCCTCTCCAGTGTGATGTAGTGATTAAGAGCGGTAGTCTCGTAATCTGGGGAACCAGGTTCGCGTCTCCGCTCCTCCACATGCAGCTGCTGGGTGACCTTGGGCTAGTCACACTTCTCTGAAGTCTCTCAGCCCCACTCACCTCACAGAGTGTTTGTTGTGGGGGAGGAAGGGAAAGGAGAACATTAGCCGCTTTGAGACTCCTGAAGGGGAGTGAAAGGCGGGATATCAAATCCAAACTCTTCTCTTCTTCTTCTCCACACACTGTCTGAAATTTATCCTCCTTGCTTTTTATTATTTTTGTACTGAAATTTCTAAAGGAACCCACAAGTATTTCATTGTCTGACCAATTTATCAGATTTAATCTAATATATGTGGTGGTTTCCCAAGATACAAAATATTCCCTCTTGGGCTAGAGAGACCTGGGGGCCCCATTTGGTTTTCCCCAACCCCGGTCTATGAAGATCTAGGTTCTGATTTCAGCTATGACAGGATGGCTGAACTCAACTATTGTCATATTCCAAACTATATTGGAACTGTGATAATTTTAAAATGCATTCATTTTACTGACATGTAGTTCTTCAATTGATGTTATTATTAATGCAATCCATTGCAATAATAGATGATACACAACAGAACTGATTGGCATAAGGTGCCAGTAATTGCATATCCAAAATATATTTTCAATTCCTTATCTATCCCATCCAAGGCAGTCCCAAAGAGGTATCCTATCCAATCACTGGTGAGACACAGACCTGCTTAGCTTCAACAAGATACCGGCCTCATTTACCTTTAGGCCACAGCCAAATTCAGTAGGTGTCTTCCACACAGGCTTCCACACCAGTTGATCCAGGCATGATTGTAAAAGCACTACAAACACATATGTAGGAAAATAGGAAACTGCCTTAT